AAAAGAGAAATGATTATTGATCTTATTATAGAAGAGGTAAAGATATTACAAATATTGTCTTACCCTAGTCATTCTTGTCTTTCAGACGTTAGTTACACTATGTATTTCAGCACATTTGACACCATGCTAACTCAATATGATGTGGATTAAAATTTTATCATGTTATTTAATGATTAACTCGTTTTACTATAATGGAACTTGTGATTATATATATTTATTTAATAGCATATATAAGTTATATAAAATAATTGTGCATATATTGTTATCCATTCAAATATTTTTCTTGCCAAGATAAAATTATTTTGTCCTAAAAATTGATAACAAAGAGAAAAATGATACCTTTATCAAAATCCTAGATATTTTCTTTAGAATTCAAATGATTCTTTTAAGGATAGTAATTGGTATATATTCGAATCAAAAAAATACAAAAAAAACTGAAAAAAAAATTATTATTTTTTAATATAAAATTAAAGATAAACAAATTTAAAAATACAATTATATATACAAGATACAGGAATTAGCTAAATCGATTATATTTATATTATAAATTTAATTGTTGAACTAGAAGTGTATCAAAAAATATGTTGAATTATGTATGTACCAATTATTTTCTCTCTTTTAAGTCAAACATTAAAAACAAATTTTGTACTAAACAAAAATTGATGTATCATATTAAATATTTTTCAAAAGCCTAGGGTGACGGCTGCCCTCCTTGCCCTACGTTAGCTCCGTCCCTGGTCCCTACCAAGGCAAGTGACACTACTTGTCAGCGTCATTCATTTGAACTCAAGCTTCTGTATATATGTGGTTTACAGCTTCCTCTTTTCTCTTGCAGAACAAGAAGATTTCCTCTCGTTCACATAAGTTTTATTTTCTCTGGTAATAGAAAACTTCTGCAAAATCTATTCACCCTTTCCGTTTCTATCTGTTTCCGCAGAAAGTAGAAGGAAACTAATTTCAACTTCTATATTTTTATTTTCCAGTCATCACTTCTTGGTGCCCAAACAGAAAGAGAAGGAGAAAAGTAAGTATTTAAACATTTCATCATCTCCTTATCTAATTGCTAGTAGCTTTTTTATAATTTGTTTAACTTCCTCTGCTTCTACAAACAATTCCTTAATTATTATGGAACTAGTTTGTTGTCAGTATTTGTTCACAATAAATTCTTAAAACAGGCACATGACGATGAATGACTATTTATTTGATAATGTCGTAGTGCAATTTGTCCTACCTAAACTGTGCTAATTAATTATAATAATTAATGGAGGGGCAGGCTCTAATATTAATTAGGACTCGTTCTACCATCAGTGGTTATAAGTAATAGAGTCCGCATAAGGTTGATTGCATTTCACTCTTTTATACAATTTATGTAATTTGAGTGAAAAATAATAAATAAAAACTACTGTGAATTCATGTCACACTATGATAATTTATTGTTAAACAAATCAATTTCGTAATTATTTAGACTCTATTTAGTATGGTTGCAGTTTTCTATTTTTTGTTTTAGTTTTTATAAATTTTACAATTGTAAAAAAAAAAGACTTGCTTACTTTTTTTTTTTTTTTTTTTGTAGCATATTGTTATGATAAGTTTATTGTTTTATAATCCAAATTATTTCAAGTTGTAAAATAAGGACCCTTAGATAGAGGAAGGGCTCTCAATATTAGGGGATCCATCCCTCATTAAAGGGTCAATATTTTATAGTTTGGACTATAAAACAAATTTTCTTATTATGGTTATTAGAGTAATAAGAATACAAATAGTTTTAATACTATTAAAGAAGAAGTTTATATATATTTTTAGGACAATAACTGATACTCTTTGATCGAACACACTTTATAGTACACTCATTAAGAAATTATTATTTTCAAATTTGAATTCAATGTGAAAAAAAAAAAATTCACTTGTAGGATTTAATAACTAAACTGACGAGTGTTAATAGGTGTATTGAAATGGAAAGTTTACCAATCATTTTCTTATTTTTCTATTAGTATTTTTTTTTTTTGGAATATTGGTTTACACAATGGAAGACAACTCTTTTTCATTCCTTAACTCACGCCACCTGCATGTCATGTGACTCGAATTTAAAACTTCTTACTTTCATGCGAAAGAGATTACTACTAAATTATTTAAGTTGTTGGCAAAGTTTGTTTTTAATATTAAAATTTAGGAAAATGACTGGTATATATTCAGTTTAATACGATTTTTGACACTCATCTCAGTTTAACTATTAAAATATAATATAAGTATAGTTG